GCGTCCCAGCACAGCGCGGCCCCAGCTCCCCCGTTCCACGAGCACAGAGGACACGGCGCTCTCCTTCCCCCAGCCCAGCACAGCCCCGCAAACGCCCCCCAGCTACCCCGTTCCACGAGCACAAAGCACACGGCACTCTCCCCCCCTCCAGCCCGGCACGGCCCCAAACACCGCCCAGCTCCCCCGGGCACAGAGGACACGGCGCTCTCCCCAGCACAGCAGCCCCAAACACGCCCCAGCTCCCCCGTTCTACGAGCACAGAGCACACGGCGCTCCCCCAGCCCTGCACAGCGCGGCCCCAAACACGCTCAGCTCCCCCCTTCCACGAGCACAGAGCACACGGCGCTCTGCTCCCCCCAGCCCAGCCCAGCCCAGCCCAGCCCAGCCCAGCGCGCCACGGCCCCAAACACGCCCCAGCTCGCCCGTTCCAGAAGAGGACACAGCGCTCTCCCAGCCCAGCACAGCGAGCACAGCACAGCGGTCCCAGCTCAGCCCTCACGCTCAAAAGCCGCAGCGGCACTGGCCCCACCTCGGCCCCACCCTCAGCCCCACCCTCAGCCTTCCAGCTCAGCCCCCGGCTCAGCCCCCGGCTCAGCCCCCACTCAAACTGCGGCAGCTGCGTCGGCCCTACCTGCCCTTGAATAGCGCGGGCCCGGCAGGGGCTGCCCAATCAGCACTCGAGGCCCTGCCCTGGCCCGCCTGCCACTGCAGCCCCGGCGGGCGCTGCTGGGGCCGGGGAAAGGCGGGGAAGCTCCAGGTCACGTCCCGTCCGGGAGCTCTCCCGGGACAAGGGGAAGGGGGGGCGGCGGCGGAGCCTGCGGGGACAGCGGCGTTCTTGGAGACGGGCAGGGAGGGGCCGGGCGGCCAGGGCGGGGGCCAGTGCGAGCCGGGGGCGGGGCCAGCACCATCCCGCCGCGTTTGGCTCTGGGCTTTGGGGTCCTTTTGGGCTCGATTTAGGTGCGGGTTTTGGGGGATTATGCACACTGTCCCGGGTCGCAGCCCCGCCCCAGCTCGCTGCACCTGCTGCGCTCCCCGCACCCCTTGCACTGCTGCAGGGACATCCCCCGGGGGGCTGCAGGACAGGCTGCACCGGGATGGCCCCGCCCGCTCTGCCCGCCCAGCCCGGCCCGGCCCGGCCCCTCCGCGCGGCCCCGCCCCCGTTCCCTCCGGGGCCGGTAGACCCGGTGTCCCCGTCCAGCGGGTACACCTCGTGTCCGTTCCCAGCGGGTACACCCGGTGTCCCCGTCCAGCGGGTACACCCGTGTCCGTTCCCAGCGGGTACACCTCGTGTCCGTTCCCAGCGGGTACACCCGGTGTCCCCGTCCAGCGGGTACACCTCGTGTCCGTTCCCAGCGGGTAGACCCCGTCTCTCTTTGCGTGAGGAAGACCTGTTGTCCGTGCCAACATCCCCCCCTCAGGACCCCCCTGAAATCCCACTGGCCCCCCTCCGGTCCCACAACCCCTTGGACCACCCCTCTCCCAACCCCCCCAAAAAAAACGATCTCAAGGCCATCCCAAAGCTCAGTGGCCACTTTATAAAAAGGGGGGCCCGGGGGCGCCCCCGTATCAACATATGTACAGGGGGAGGGGCATGTACAGCTATTTACACCCCCCCGGAATATGTACAGAGACAAGGGGGAGGAGGGGCGGCCCTGGGGAGGGGGAGGAGCAGGGGAGGGGAAGGGAACACCCCCACCCCCCACCCAGGGGGAGTCCCCCCCACTCAGACACACCCCGAGTTTCTACAAGAAACAGCCAAAAAAAGGGGGAGAAACGAGCCTTTTCCAAGGGGCGTGCGAGGGTGGGTGGGGCAGGCTGCTGTGATGGCCCCGTGATGGAATCGTGACATCCTCGTGTACATTTTGATGTCACGGGGGCAGCAGCGTCGTGGCCGGGGTGTGGGGGGGAAGGAGAGGTGACATCGATGACAGTGATGACATCACGTGCTGACCACGGGGGACGTCAACGGTGGCCCCTCGGTGGCTTAAATGTCCACGGCGCTGGACCCCCGGCCCCCCTCTCCTCAGGGCAGTCACGGTGTCCTCACATCGGCCACGGTGGCCTCCTCCCACAACCCCCACGGTGGCCACAAAGCCAACCTCGGTGGCCACGTCAGCTGCAGGTTGGCCCCTTTTGCCCACCACGGCGTCCTCGCGCCAACGGCTGCAGCTGCACCTCGGCCGTGGTGGCCCAACGCCCACCCTGGTGGCCAAACACTGACCCTGGTGGCCAAACACCGACCCCGGTGGCCTCGTGTCAACCTTGGTGGCCAAACACCGACCCTGGTGGCCTCGTGCCAACCTTGGTGGCCCAACGCCCACCCTGGTGGCCAAACACCGACCCTGGTGGCCTTGTGTCAACCTTGGTGGCCAAACACTGACCCCGGTGGCCTCGTGCCAACCTTGGTGGCCCCACGCCCACCCTGGTGGCCAAACACCGACCCTGGTGGCCTCGTGCCAACCTTGGTGGCCCAACGCCCACCCTGGTGGCCAAACACCGACCCTGGTGGCCTCGTGTCAACCTTGGTGGCCAAACGTCAACCACGGTGGCCAAACACCGACCCCGGTGGCCTCGTGTCAACCTTGGTGACCAAACGTCAACCACGGTGGCCAAACACCGACCCCGGTGGCCTCGTGTCAACCTTGGTGGCCAAACGTCAACCACTGGTGGCCAAACACCGACCCTGGTGGCCAAACACCAACCACAACGGCCGCGGGTCAACCCTGAAGGCCAAGGGCCAGCCAGGACGGCCGCGTGGCAACCCCGGCGGCCCAAACGCCAAATGCCAGCCCTGCCGCCCCTGTGGCCCCCTCCCAGCAGAGCCCCCCGCCCTAGTTCAGGGTGCCGCGACAGCTCTCGGTGCGGCACAGGCACGGGATCTTGGTGTCCTCGATGGGGAACTTGTAGTCGTAGGTGATCTCCTCGTTGACGCCGATCGCCTGCTTCGAGTAGATGACGATCTTCTTCTGCGCCTCGATGGTGATCACCTTGGCGTAGCAGTTGGGCTGAGGGGGGGGGCGACACGGGAGGGGTCAGCGGGGCCCCCCCCGGCGGTTTTGGGGACCCCCCCCCCCCGCCATCGCAGGCCTCACCGTGCAGCAGTGGTTGATGAACCGCGCCAGGTTCCCGCACTTGGTGGCGTCGATGATGGTGTCGTGGTCGACGCGGAACAGGTAACTGCTGCCGATGCCCTCCTGGGCGTAGCGCTTCTCCCGCATGTCCGCCACCACCTGGGGGGCACGGGGGTCACCGAGGGTGGGGGGACGTGAGCAGGGGTGACTGGGGGTCACCGAGGGTGGGGGGACGTGAGCAGGGGTGACCGGGGGTCACCGAGGGTGGGGGGACGTGAGCAAGGGTGATTGCAGGACACTGAGGGTGGGGAGGTGAGCAGGGGTGATTGCAGGGCACTGAAGGTGCTGGGAGGTGAGCAGGAAGTATTTCAGGGTTACTTCAGGGGGCGATTGGGGGTCACCAAGGGTTGGTAGGAGGTGACCAGGGGGTACTTCATGGTCACTAAGGTTGGTAGGAGGTGAGCAGGGGGTGCCTGGGGGTCACCAAGGGTTGGTAGGAGGTGAGCAGGGGGTGTCTGGGGATGACCAAGGGCTGGTAGGAGGTGAGCAGGGGGTGCCTGGGGGTCACCAAGGACTGACAGGAGGTGACCAGGGGGTGCCTGGGGGTCACCAAGGATGGTGGGAGGTGACCAGGGGTGCCTGGGGGTCACCAGGGGTGGTGGGAGGTGACCAGGGGGTGCCTGGGGGTCACCAATGGTGGTATGAGGTGAGCAGGGGGTGCCTGGGGGTCACCAAGGGTTGGTATGAGGTGAGCAGGGGGTGCCTGGGGGTCACCAAGGGTTGGTATGAGGTGAGCAGGGGGTGCCTGGGGGTCACCAAGGGTGGTAGGAGGTGACCAGGGGGTGCCTGGGGGTCACCAAGGGTTGGTATGAGGTGAGCAGGGGGTGCCTGGGGGTCACCAAGGTTTGGTATGAGGTGAGCAGGGGGTGCCTGGGGGTCACCAAGGGTGGTAGGAGGTGAGCAGGGGGTGCCTGGGGGTCACCAAGGACTGACAGGAGGTGACCAGGGGTGCCTGGGGGTCACCAGGGGTGTGGGAGTTGCCCGAGGATGCCCCGGGGGGCTGTGGGGCCCCGCTGGGTGCTGACCTGCCGGATGTTCTGCCCCACGTACTCGATGACCATCTCGTCGGCCGCGATGGGCTCCATGGCAAAGAGCCCCCACTCGTGGATGCGGCTCCGCCCGAACCGCAGCCGCTTCTTCCGGAACTGCCGGAGCACGAACGGGGTGGGAGCGACGGGAGAGCAGGACGAGAAGGACGGGGAGAACACGGATGTGACACGAGAGACAGGGACAACAAGAACAGCACGGATGTGACACGAGAGACAGGGACGACAGGAACAGCATGACGAGACGGGCACAGAGCCCACAGAGCCACCCAGAGCCCCCCATCCCACCCCAGGGTGCAGCCCCCCTTCCCAGAGCCCCCATCCCACCCCAGGGTGCAGACCCCCCTCCTCAGACCATCCCATCCCACCCCAGGGTACAGCCCCCCTCCCCAGAGCCCCCATCCCACCCAGGGTGCAGCCCCCGTCCCCAGACCACCCTGTCCCACCCCAGGGTGCAGCCCCCCTCCCAGAGCCCCCGTCCCACCCCAGGGTGCAGCCCCCCTCCCCAGAGCCCCCTATCCCACCCCAGGGTGCAGCCCCCCCTCCCCAGAGCCCCCTGCCCACCCCAGGGTGCAGCCCCCTGTCCCCAGAGCCCCCTGCCCACCCCAGGGTGCAGCCCCCCTCCCCAGAGCCCCCATCCCACCCCAGGGTGCAGCCCCCTGTCCCCAGAGCCCCCATCCCCCCAGGGTGCAGCCCCCTCCCCAGACCACCCTGTCCCACCCCAGGGTGCAGCCCCCTGTCCCCAGAGCCCCCGTCCCACCCCAGGGTGCAGCCCCCCTCCCCAGAGCCCCCATCCCACCCTGGGTGCAGCCCCCGTCCCCAGAGCCCCCCGTCCCACCTTGAGCTGGTTGAGCTTGAGCAGGTCGCTGTCGGGCAGCGCGGCCGAGCCGATGGCGCTGAGGAGCCGCTGCTCCGAGCGCCGCTCGGACAGGGACGCGGTTGGGGCCCTGGGGACGGGGACAGGCGGGCGCCGGGGCCGCGGCGTGAGGGGGCGCGGGGGGGTCCCCGCGGCGCCGGCCCCGCCGGGGGCTCACCTGGGTGTGGGGGCTCACTCTGGGTGTGGGGGGCTCACCTGGGTGTCGGGGGGCGCGTCGGGGTCGGGGCGGGGGCCGGGGCAGGGGTGCAGGTACCGCGCCTTCTCGCGCCGGCTGATGGGGTAGTAGCCCTCGCTGCGCGCGCTGCCCGTCCGGTGCTCCCGGCACTCCGGCCACCGGCGCCGGCGCCGCGGGCTGCTCGTCCTCGTCAGTGCGGGGCAGTCAAGGGGGGACAACTGAAGGGCCCTGGCCTCTTGTGACCCGATGTGACCCGACGTGACCCAACAGAACCCAGCGCGACCCGGTGTAACCCCACACCACCAATAATTTCCCTGACCCCGACCCGATGTAACCCCACACCAACGTCCATTTCCCTGACCCTGACCCTCCAACACCAACCATTTCCCTGACCCTGATCTGACCCTCCAACACCAACATCCATTTCCCTGACCCCGACCCGACCTAACCCCACACCACCAACCATTTCCCTGACCCCGACCCGATGTAACCCCACACCAATGTCCATTTCCCTGACCCTGACCCTCCAACACCAACCATTTCCCTGACCCCAACCCAACCCTCCAACACCAACACCAACGTCCATTTCCCTGACCCGACTCTCCAACACCAACGTCCATTTCCCTGACCCTGACCCGACCCTCCAACACCAACGTCCATTTCCCTGACCCCGACCTTCCAACACCAACATCCATTTCCCTGACCCCAGCCAAAGCCCAACACCCACCCCCACATCCCCAACACCCGTCCCCACATCCCCACCTCCCAGGCCCCCTCCCCGTGGCTCCCAAGGATATCGGTGTGGTGCACCCAGTGGGTGTCGTTGAGCCAGTGCGCGGCCCCGTCCTGCTGCAGCAGCCGCTCGTAGGTGAGGCGCAGGTACCGCGCGTCCTCGGCGTCCAGCCCCGCGCTCCAGATGTCGTACAGGATCGTCATCTGCTCGAACTCGCTGCGGGGGGCGAACGCCGGCTCCGGGGGCGGCGAGGACCCCCCCCCGCGGGGGCGCAGCCAGCGCCTCGCCCCCCCTTCCTCCTCGTCGTCGTCGTCGTCGTCGTCCACGTCCTCCTCGTCCTCCGTGCTGGTTTCATCCTCGTCGTCGTCGCTGTCGCTGGAGGACGAGGGCGGGGGCGGCCGGTGCCGTTTGCGCCGGGGCGGGGGCGGCGCCGGGAGGGTCCCGGGCTCTGCACCGGGCGGGGGCAGCTCGGCCACCACCTCCTCGGGCGCCTCGAGCACCTCGGCGGCCGTGGGTTCCAGGCACAGAGCGGCGGGCGCGGCGGCGCTGCCGGGGGGCGCGGGGGCGGCCTTGGGGGGCCCCGCCCGGGCCGGCATGGCGTAGTTGTGCTCCAGCAGCACGGGGGGGTCGCGGGAGGGGTGCTGGAGGCACGTCCTCCTCGTCTTCTTCCTCCTCCTCCTCCTCGCTCGTCGTCATCGCCCTCGTCGCCGTCGCGTCCTCGTCGCCTCGCTGCGCCGCCGCGGTGAGGGCGATGGTGGCCAGCACGGCCAGGTCCCCGCCCTGGGGCCCCGCGCCAGCTCCAGCAGGGACGTGGCCTCCAAGTGCTCGGCGGGCGGGCGGGGCGGGGGCGCCGGGGCGCGCGCCCGCCCGGGTCCTCGGCCCCCAGCTCTTGACGAGCGAGGCGTGGTCGGCCGGCAGGTTGGACACGCGCGGGCGGCCCCGGGCGCGGGCGGCGGCGCTGGGGTCCCGGCGCGCAGGGGGGGGCGGGGGCGCGGGGGGCGCCGGGGCCGCGGGGAGGGCCGGGGCCTCGGGGCGGCGGCGGCGGCGGCGGCGGGGGCGGCACGGGCGGCTCTTCGGTCTTGCGGCGCTTCTTGGGCGGCGGCAGCAGCGGATCGGCGACGAGGGGCGCGGGGCCGGGGGCTCTGTGGGGTGGGGAGATCAGTGGGGCTGGGGGACACCCCTGAGCAGA